GGGCACAGCATGAACAACGTCCAGGACTGATTCTTACACTGAGTGAAAATTGTGATCTGAGCATGGCCCTCACTAAATGACCGTTATAGTGCCAGACCAGTGTTCATTTTATAATTACCAATATGGATACCTCACTCTCCTGGATCCCAGGGTGCAACCTGGCCTGAGGTTGGCCAATCCTCACAATGTGATTTGCATAATAAGTAATGATGGTAACAAACTTGACAAAGGCCCTTCTGTGGGCCGAATCGTTGTTTCTACTTTCCTCCAATAAATCTGCCCACTGGATTGAACTTGAGTGCCTGGACCATCATTACTTTTTTGCACATCACAGTGTTCATTTTATGTCATTTATGGTGCCTTAAAGGGTCAGCATGGCACTGCCTTGATCCCATATATGGTGCCAATGTGGTGCCCACTGGAGGTGGCAGGCATGCCCATCTCTGCATTAAGAAATTTTTAATAAAATATAGTTAAAGCGTGTAGTCTGAGAGTGGAAATTTACTGTGTCTATTCATCTCCCAATTTCACCCCAATGATCACTGACACAGGATTTTCATTAATTCTCAGTTCCTGTATTTTCACTGCCTGATTGTTTAATATTTAATTGCTTTGCCTTGATCTTATCATTCCAAGTATTGCTCACAGGGACAGACGATGAACTGGTATGGCCCTGGAAGAAGGGACACTTTGTTAACGTATTCGCCATCATAGTAATGTTTATATGCAATTAGAAATAACATGCAAGGCACTAGTGGATAAAGGTTTTTTTTTTTTTTTTTTAAATGTAATTGATGCTTGGCCCCTAGGAACCACAAACGGACTGCCTTAGTTTAGTGTTGTGCAAACCAAGCCCAGGGATATCTGTATGTAAGTCCTAATATTTACTCCCCACCGAATGATTATTATTAAGTGTTATATCCCCTTGCTTTACCATTTGACACTCAGCTTTTGTTGAATTATTGCATTTCTACCTAATATGACCCGAGATAGTGTTTGATGCTCTCAGTTATAAGGAAAAGGAACAGATTTATTTATCGAGAGCAAAAAATGGGTCGCAAGAGTATTCTGAGAATGGACAGCAGCTAAAATAGCCTGCCCTTCGGTGGGTCCCCGCTCAGAACTCAAGCTAATGATGCCTAACAAGGCTGAAACGATCGTCTGGGGTTGCTGTATCTCTCGTGCAGAGAGAACTTGCTGGCATTTTGGATCTGGATTGTCCGTATGGGTGGGGCCAGTCTGATATACTTCAGATATGTTCTCTCCGGAATGGCACAAGTTGAGCTAAAACCAGCTTGAGTTCTGAGCGGGGACCCACCGAAGGGCAGGCTATTTTAGCTGCTGTCCGTTCTCAGAATGCTTTTGCAACCCATTTTTTGCTCCCCAGATTTATTTATCGAAGTCTCCCAGTCCCTGATAACCCGCTCCCAGATAACCCCTCCCTGATAACTCGCTCCCAGATAACTCGCTCTCTGATAACCCGCTCCCAGATAACTCTCTCCCAGATAACCCGCTCCCTGAAAATTTGCTCCCAGTCTCTGATAACTCATTCCCAGATAACCCCTCCCTGATAACTTGTTCCAATTCTCTGATAACTCTCTCCCTGATAACCCGCTCCCAGATAACCCGCTCCCTGATAAATCGCTCCCAGATAACCCGCTCCCAGATAACCTGCTCCCTGATAACCCGCTCCCATATAACCCACTCCCTGCGCTGACTGATAACCTGTTTTCTACATCCCCCCCCCATGTAGGGTGAGTAGTGTGCTTGGCGTGTAGGGTGAGTAGTGTGCGTAGCATGTAGAGTGAGTCGGGTGCTTGGCGTGTATGGTGAGTAGTGTGCTTGGGGTGTAGGGTGAGTAGGGTGCTTGGCGTGTAGGGTGAGTAGTGTGCTTAGCATGTAGAGTGAGTAGTGTACTTGGCGTGTAGGGTGAGTAGTGTACTTGGCGTGTAGGGTGAGTAGTGTGCGTAGCATGTAAAGTGAGTAGTGTGCGTAGCATGTAGAGTGAGTAGTGTCCTTGGCATGTAGGGTGAGTAGTGTGCGTAGCATGTAGAGTGAGTAGGGTGCTTGGTGTGTAGGGTGAGTAGTGTGTGTAGATAATAGAGTGAGTAGGGTGCTTGGCGTGTAGGGTGAATAGTGTGCGTAGCATGTAGAGTGAGTAGGGTGCTTGGCGTGTAGGGTGAGTAGTGTGCTTGGTGTGTAGAGTGAGTAGTGTGCTTAGAATGTAGAGTGAGTAGTGTGCTTGGTGTGTTGGGTGAGTAGCATGTAGAGTGAGTAGTGAGCTTGACGTGTTGGGTGAGTAGTGTGCGTAGCATGTAAAGTGAGTAGGGTGCTTGGCATGTAGGGTGAGTAGTGTGCGTACCATGTAGAGTGAGAAGGGTGCTTGGCATGTAGGGTGAGTAGTGTGCGTACCATGTAGAGTGAGAAGGGTGCTTGGAGTGTAGGGCGAGTAGTGTGTGTAGCATGTAGAGTGAGTAGGGTGCTTGGAGTGTAGGGTGAGTAGTGTGTGTAGCATGTAGAGTGAGTAGGGTGCTTGGCGTGTAGGGTGAGTAGTGTGCTTGGCATGTAGAGTGAGTAGTGTGCTTGGCGTGTAGGGTGAGTAGTGTGTGTAGCATGTAGAGTGAGTAGGGTGTTTTGCGTGTAGGGTGAGTAGTGTGCTTGGCATGTAGAGTGAGAAGCGTGCTTGGTGTGTAGGGTGAGTAGTGTGTGTAGCATGTAGAGTGAGTAGGGTGCTTGGCGTGTAGGCTGAGTAGTGTGCGCAGCATGTAGAGTGAGTAGGGTGCTTGGCGTGTAGGGTGAGTAGTGTGCTTGGTATGTAGAGTGAGTAGCGTGCTTGGCGTGTAGGGTGAGTAATGTGCTTGGCATGTAGAGTGAGTAGGGTGTTTTGCGTGTAGGGTGAGTAGTGTGCTTGGCATGTAGAGTGAGAAGCGTGCTTGGCGTGTAGGGTGAGTATTGTGCGTAGCATGTGGAGTGAGTAGGGTGAGTATTGTGCGTAGCATGTAGAGTGAGTAGGGTGTTTGGCGTGTAGGGTGAGTAGTGTGATTGGCATGTAGAGTGAGTAGCGTGCTTGGCGTGTAGTAGGGTGAATATTGTGCGTAGCATGTAGAGTGAGTAGAGTGCTTGGCGTGTAGAGTGAGTAGGTTGCTTGGCGTGTAGGGTGAGTAGCGTGCTTGGCATGTAGAGTGAGTAGGGTGCTTGGCGTGTAGGGTGAGTAGTGTGCGTAGCATGTAGAGTGAGTAGGTTGCTTGGCGTGTAGGGTGAGTAGTGTGTGAAGCATGTAGAGTGAGTACGGTGCTTGGCGTGTAGGGTGAGTAGTGTGTGTAGCATGTAGAGTGAGTAGGGTGCTTGGCGTGTAGGGTGAGTAGTGTGTGTAGCATGTAGAGTGAGTAGGGTGCTTGGCGTGTAGAGTGAGTAGTATGCGTAGCATGTAGAGTGAATAGGGTGCTTGGCGTGTAGGGTGAATAGTGTGCGTAGCATGTAGAGTGAGTAGAGTGCTTGGCGTGTAGATTGAGTAGTGTGTGTAGCATGTAGAGTGAGTAGGGTGCTTGGCGTGTAGGGTGAATAGTGTGCGTAGCATGTAGAGTGAGTAGAGTGCTTAGCGTGTAGAGTGAGTAGTGTGTGTAGCATGTAGAGTGAGTAGGTTGCTTGGCGTGTAGGGTGAATATTGTGCGTAGCATGTAGAGTGAGTATAGTGCTTGGCGTGTAGAGTGAGTAGGTTGCTTGGCGTGTAGAGTGAGTAGAGTGCTTGGCGTGTAGAGTGAGTAGGTTGCTTGGCGTGTAGGGTGAGTAGCGTGCTTGGCGTGTAGAGTGAGTAGGTTGCTTGGCGTGTAGGGTGAGTAGCGTGCTTGGCGTGTAGAGTGAGTAGTGTGTGTAGCATGTAGAGTGAGTAGGTTGCTTGGCGTGTAGGGTGAGTAGGGTGCTTGGCGTGTAGGGTGAGTAGGGTGCTTGGCGCTGTGTATATCTGCACAGATCACGTTTGATTGGGGAGATAAACGGCGATTGCAATGCCTGGCATATTATTAGTTTTTTCACATTCCATCCCTCCCTTTATTGCTGCTTTTATAAAATGTTCTAAATGTTTTATTTACAAGAAGACAAAATGTCTGGCACGTGTTCAGCCATTATCACCTCTGAGGGGGACTTGAAGCGATAATTTGCATGTCACCGCCCACTTTCCATGGCGCTAATACAGCAAGGCGGGGCATGATCTGCACTCTTCCCGCCCTATGCTACATCCAGCACGCAGGTGTGAAATAAGGGCGGGGAAATTAAAATGTCACGCGCAATTGGTTACAATAGCTGTCAATCAAATACCTCAAAGGCGAAGGGCGGGTGCTGCTGATGACGTAACGGATACCAAGCAAAAGAAATTGCAGGAAAACAAACCAAGCTGTAAAACAAAGGAGTGATCTCAGTGACCAATAGGAGGAGAGGGGCGGGGATAATCAGGAGGGAGGCGGGAAAAGAACAGCTCATCGAGCTAAGCAATGGGAAAGCGGAACGTCTGGGAATGTACCAAGTTAGACTGTGGGGGAGGTTTACTCCCTGTTAGCAGTCTGTTAACGCTCCCTTCACTCTCCGTTAGAACCTTCACTAAGCTACAAGTACACCGTTATTAAAGCAGCATTCCGCCAGGCGTGTGACACATTATCCCTGAGGTGATTTTCCCCTCCCCCCCCCGCCTTCAGTCAGTGGGCTCGCCCGCCGCGCTCGGAGATGGGTGTGGCCGCGCTCGGAGTGACAGCGCCTGTCGGCTGTGCACGAGCCAAGATGGCGGCTGGGAGTGTGGACGCGCCCCGGCCGGCCCTGCAGAGGGGGCGGAGTGACATTGGGGGGCGGAGTGACGCTTTGTTCCCTCACAGCCCGGGCCGGTTGGTGTGCGGGAGGTCGCGCTCGCTCGGGCCGTGTTGTTGTGCGCGCGCGGGCGGAGCCAGGCAGCCCCCGTGACGGGCCATGAAGAGCCCGGGGCCCCCGGAGCCGTGACGGGCGGAGCTCCCTGGATGGCGGCCATGGCCCCGGCCCTCACCGAAGCAGGAGAAGCCCAGCCCGGCCTCAAACCCTCGGTGACCCGGCCCAAGCCGCCCGAGCTCAACGGAACCCACCGCGGGGCCCCCCTCCCCCGCAGGAACGGCCGGCTCCCCCCCGGGGGGCCCCCCAACATGGCCTTCCCTTCCGGGGGTCCCCCCAACATGGCCCTCCCCTCCGGGGGCCCCCCCAACATGGCGCTCCCTCCCGGGGGTCCCCCCAACATGGCCCTCCCCTCCGGGGGCCCCCCCAACATGGCCCTCCCCCCCGGGGGCCCCCCCAGCATGGCGGCAGCGGGCCGGCTCCCCCCCGGGGGCCCCCCCAACATGGCCCTCCCCCCCGGGGGCCCCCCCAGCATGGCCCTCCCCCCCGGGGGCTCCCCCAACATGGCGGCAGCGGGCCGGCTCCCCCCCGGGGGCCCCCCCAACATGGCCCTCCCCCCCGGGGGCCCCCCCAGCATGGCCCTCCCCCCCGGGGGCCCCCCCAGCATGGCGCTCCCCCCCGGGATGGCGGCCGGCCGGCAGGCAGAGCTGGGAGCCCGGGCCCGGAGGCTGTGTCGGCGGCTGCAGGTGATCCAGGCCAAGCAGGTGGAGCGACATGTCCGGCAGCAGCTGGCCGGCCTGGTGGGGCTCCTGGCGGGCAGGGGGTCGGGCGGGCTGGCCGGGGCCGAGCTCCAGCGGGTGGCGGGCAGCTCCTCGGCCAGGCTGCGGGCGGCTCAGGGAGCCTTTGACTCGGACGCCACTGAGAGCAGCTCGGGGGGAGACAGCGAGAACGAGGAGACCGAGAGCGGAGAGAGCGGGGGAGACAGCCTGGAGGAAGCCGCACATCGGCCGGGACACGGGTCAGTCACTCACTCACTATCTCTCTCTCTCTCTATCTATATACACTGTGTATACTGTGTGCTTATAGTGTGTATATACCGTGTATACTGTGTGTATATAGTCACTCACTATCTCTCTCTATCTATCTATCTATCTATCTATCTATCTATCTATATATAGTGTGTATACTGTGTGCTTATAGTGTGTATATACCGTGTATACTGTGTGTATATAGTCACTCACTATCTCTCTCTATCTATCTATCTATCTATCTATCTATCTATATATAGTGTGTATACTGTGTGCTTATAGTGTGTATATACCGTGTATACTGTGTGTATATAGTCACTCACTATCTCTCTCTATCTATCTATATATACACTGTGTATACTGTGTGCTTATAGTGTGTATATACCGTGTATACTGTGTGTATATAGTCACTCACTATCTCTCTCTATCTATATATACACTGTGTGCTTATAGTGTGTGTGTATATACCGTGTATACTGTGTGTGTATAGTCACTGACTCTCTATCTATATATACTGTGTGCTTATAGTGTGTGTATATACCGTGTGTGTATAGTCACTGACTCTCTATCTATATATACTGTGTGCTTATAGTGTGTGTGTGTATATACCGTGTGTGTATAGAGTGTCTCTCTCTCTCTCTCTCTCTCTCTCTCTCTCTCTCTCTCTCTCTCTCTCTCTCTCTCATATAGTCACTGACTCTCTATATATATTGTGTGTGTATATAGTCACTGACTCTCTATATATACCGTGTGCTTAGTGTATATATACCGTGTGTGTATATAGTCACTGACTCTCTATTATACATACCGCGTGCTTATATTGTGTATACCGTGTACTGTGTGTATATAGTGACTGACTCTATTATATACTGTGTGTATCTAGTGACTGACTATTATATACTGTGTGTGTGCTTATAGTGTATATACTGTGTGTATATAGTCACTGACTCTCTCTATATACCGTGTATACTGTGTGTATAGTCACTGACTCTCTATTATACATACCGTGTGCTTATAGTGTGTGTGCGTGCTTATAGTGTGTATACTGTGTGTGTGTGCGTGCTTATAGTGTGTATACTGTGTGTGTGTGCGTGCTTATAGTGTGTATACTGTGTGTGTGTGCGTGCTTATAGTGTGTATACTGCGTGCGTGCGTGCTTATAGTGTGTATACTGCGTGCGTGCGTGCTTATAGTGTGTATACTGCGTGCGTGCGTGTGTATAGTGTGTATACTGTGTGTGTGCGTGCGTGTTTATAGTGTGTATACTGTGTGTGTGTGCGTGCTTATAGTGTGTATATAGTGACTGACTGTATTATACGTAGTGTGCTTATAGTGTATATACCATGTATACTGTGTGTATATAGTGACTGACTGTATTATACATAGTGTGTGTGTATAGTGTATATACTGTGTACTGTGTGTGTATATAGTGACTGACTATTATACATAGTGTGCTTAGTGTATATAGTGACTGACTATTATACATACCGTACTTATAATTACATAGTGTGTGCTTTATATACTGTGTATAGTGACTGTATTACAGTGTGTGCTTTATATACTGTGTATAGTGTGCTTTATATACTGTGTATAGTGACTGTATTACACATAGTGTGTGCTTTATATACTGTGTATAGTGACTGTATTACGCAGTGTGTGTGCTTTATATACTGTGTATAGTGACTGACTGTATTACACATAGTGTGTGCTGAATATACTGTCTATAGTGTGCTGTGTGTGTATAGTGTCTGTATTACACATAGTGTGCTTTATATACTGTGCTGTGTGTATATAGTGACTGGATTACACATAGTGTGCTGTGTGTGTATAGTGTGCTTTATATACTGTGTATAGTGTCTGTATTACACATACTGTGTATAGTGGAGTGTGTGTGTGTGCCGTGTAGTGTGTATACTGTGTACTGAACACTGTCTTATATGCTGTTTACTCCGTGCTGTATATATTGCCATGTATCACCCTATATACACCCTGGCACCAGGGCAAGTGACTGCGTACTGTGTTGTACATAGTGTGTGTACTCTGTGCTGTGGCCTGTCTCAATTTACATACAGCTTGGCACTGGGGATTGACTCTATATACGGTTTTCCACATGGTCTATATACTCTGTATTGTCAGGTGACTGTACACTGCGCTGCACATGGTGTATTTACTGTACCATGTGCTACTCTCTGAATGGGCTGTACTGTACAGTGTCTATACTGTGTGCACGCTGGTCATGTCTATATTTATACAGCATGGCACTCGGGTGAGTGACTCTGTGTACATTGTGCATAGTACAAATACATAGTGTGTATTGTCCCCATATCTCACACAATGTGTGTATATATAGCAGGCATAGGCAACCTTTGGCACTCCAGATGTTTTGGACTACACCTCCCATGATGCTTTGCCAGTATTACGGGTGTTAAGAGCATTATGGGGGATGTATTCCAAAACATCTGGAATGCCGAAGGTTGCCTATCCCTGATATATAGCTTAATCATGACTATAGTGTGCCTTGCAGTCTCTGCAAACCCTACACTGTGTATTACGTATGCCTCCTGCACAGTGTACTGTGTCACACAATGTGTAGCCTGTCTAAAGGCAAGTATCCCTTCTTAAACCCTGTATAATGCGGGGCGCACGATAAGCCAGGCTTTAAACATTACTTGGGAGGGTACATATCACTGGGGGTTAACTTCTGCTCACTAATGGCTAGTGGAGAGTATACATTTTAAGCCCTGTATAATATATGCCTCCAGTACAGTGTGCAGTTACCCAATGTACAATCTGTCCCAGAACAAGTGTGTAAGGAAACCAAATATATTTAAACCTCATTCGGTAGTTTCCTCCCCGAACCGCCAGAGCCTTAGTGATTATAGCCCTCCGTTCGGTAGATAAGGTAGACGAATCCTATAGTAATTCCAATAGCTTAACGAGATAATTCCCTTAGCGAAACACACGAATCCCCAAACATCAGCCAAAGTCAAGAAGAAGGGTACAAAATGAACTGTCCTTTAATGGGTGCACACAGCTTTTATGCAAGTCCCCATGCAAGGGGACAGCCCTCAGGGAGGGACAAACAATAGCCAATCATAAACAGTAAAATGTTAACACACACCTACAATTCCCTCCCCTAGCCCAGGAGATAATTTAGTCTGATAAAATAGTAACTTAATTATCTCCGGGCTGAAAAATCACTTTTTCCCCCAACTTTCAGAACACCCCTTTATACTGGGGGTGTCCCCTGATAGCCCTGATCTGGGTGACCAACATATTCGAATTTCACCCAGATCAGTTCAGGGGTTCGCAAATTCTATGGACGTCTTGTGTGACCGGCCCACCCTGGGCTGCATGCCCGAAACAGTTCCATGAATTTGGTGGGTTTTGCTGGTCACGTTCGAAAAACATAAAAACGAAGAAAAGTACCGAATGGATCCCTCTGGCTCCTAGCAGCGCTCGTGCCCCTCTGTCGAATGCACCAAAGTACCGAATAGCGCTCTTCTAGCTATTCGGTAAGTTCCAGCGTTCGTCTGTTTGGGACCGGTGTACAGGAAGTCGAGTGCCCGCAAAACAGTTCCATGCACTCGACAACCAGGTCCCGCTACCTTTGTTCGCATGAACAAAGATGGCTGCGGTTTTCTCTGCCACGTGGCGTTCGACTAACTAACGCTGGCCGCACAGAGGTAGCAATTTCACCTAAATCTTTGATGTTTAATGAGCCAGAGGGTGGTCCCGGTTCGGTAGTTTCATCTACCGAATGCAATAGGCAGTACATTGAATAAAAAGGAATGCACACTGTAAATCACATAGGAATAGGGGGGTTTCTTCACAGAGTGTTTTTTTGCCTGGATGACTTTATAATCTGTCCTTAATGCCACCTATACTGTGTGCCATGTGTCTCCCAGTGGGAGGGTCTGTGCCTGGCATCTAGACTACGTCCTCTCAATGCCATATAGCCCCTGTTTTAACGCCGTAGCTCAGGGGTGCCCAAAATTGGATCCCCACATGTTGTAGAACTAAAACTCCCATGGTGTTTGCAATGCTTCAGAATGAGAAAGCATCGTGGAAGATGTTGTTTTAAAACATCTGGGGATCTACCTTTTGGCCACCCGTGGTGTGGCTGAAAACATTGGCATTTGTTGGGATCAGCTATGTTTTCTTTGCAGTGCTAACATGCTATTAGTGGCTGAGGCCCAGTCACCTAACTGGCAACTAAGCTCACGGGCAGGGTCCTCTACCTGTTGTATAGGTCTGTTCTTATTGTGTTTGTCTTTTTCCCAATTGTACAGCGCTGCGGAATTTGTTGGCGCTTTATAAATGCAGTAATAATAATAGGACACTATAGCGTTTGGAATATATATTTTTATTCCTTTTAAATTGTGTATTTGTTCGGCATGTCTTTAATGTGTACCATGCCATCCTACGTATATCCTGCTGCTGGGCAGAGGAGTAATGTGAGCGTCATGTGTACTAGCACTGTTTTCTACTCATTCTGTGTATCGTTTTGACCATTGGTGTCAAGCAGTTTCACCCTTTGCCACTTCACATGCTGTCCCATCTAAGGTGCCATTCCTTTATTTGGGCATTTCCATACCTCCTATAATGCTTCTGATATAACTATACGCCATCGGGAACTCTTCGTTTGCTGTCCTGTTTTATGTGAATAGTTTCTTACTTTGATGCCTGAATTGCAATATATCAACCTGCTGAGCACAGTGAGACGAGTAATGAACACTATAGCGATAGGAGTACAAATGTATATTCCAAATGCTAAAGCGTCCTGTACAATGTTTAGGTCCTCATCGCCCCTTTGTAAGGAACTAAAATGAAAGTCCCTTACCATGTCTCCCTCATCACACTGCTTTGCCAGCGGCTGGCACCACCTCCTTGGGTGGATTCCTCGACATCAGTGATCTCAGCCAATCCAGTGCTTTCAGGCTAGAGTGCATGGGTGACAAAACGCAGCGCTGTGCCAATCAGAGGGTCTGTGTGAGACCCTCTGATTGCAATAAGTTTTACTTCGCTATTTCATAGGAAGCTCCTCTAGTGTCTAAGTGACAGACAAGATGCATTTAAACCCGGTAATGAAAACTTTGCCAATCCTGCAAATGATGTTTTACACTGCTGGGCACCCAGAACACTTCATTTAAATAGTCAGGGGCGTGTAACAAGGTTAATTTATAAAAGTGCCAGTTACTAATGCAAGGCTTAAAATTGGTAGTGCTATGCCACTAGCCAGGCCCTAAAAGTAAATTACCACTGCTGGCTATAATATAATCTCCAAGAATTAATCTCTATTTACCTAAATTTTCACTTGGTAGAGTGAGTGCAAATTTTGAGCCCTGTTCTACTGATACCTGTATTGTTTTGTAAAATGAAAGCACACTTTTCACACACAAAGCAATTCAGCAAGCTAAAGTGCTTAAGGGGGTCTCCAGTGTTCTTCTAGACAATCTGCTCTGTAAAGGATTTTTTTATTTTTATTTACAATGTTGTTCTCCTGCTGTTCACTCTATCATGAACAGCAGGAGAACAACATTGTAAATTTTTAGAATAAACTAGTAAATATTCACTTTACAGAACACTTTGATAAATATCCCACCCTGGCAAGCAGAGGTGTATTATGTATTGTCCAATAACAGCTAAATAGCGTTATTTTAACTGCATTGGGATGTCCGGTACCATAACCGGCTGATGACGTAAAGGGAAAAGATCACAAATCCCTGACTTTAAAGGGATACTATCAGTGCCAGGAATACAAAGCAGCATTCCTGGCACTATAGCTCCCTCTACAACATCCCACCGCGATTTAATAAAGGTGTATTTAAAAAAAAAAAAAAATCTTACCCCAGCGCCGATGTCTCTTGCTGCTGGACCGCGGCTCCGCCTCCTCCCCCATCTGAAGTGGTCTGGGTGCCTATAGTGTCCCTTTATGATCTCTGAGATTAGGAATGCACAATGGGGGAGGTAAATGTATTTTGAAAAGTGACAGTGAACTTTCATCATCATTGTGATTGTATTTAAATGTTCTTGCCTTTAATCACTCCCATATACACTGAGTACACCAAATATCTCACAGATACATGGTGTATTCAATGTAAAATATAGAATTTGTTCACTTTGCCTCCGTTCCAGCACCGCCATCTTCATTCTTTGTGGGTGTAAACCCCAGCTCCACCTGTGCTCCTTCCGCAGTCGTCTTTGATTTGTTGTGCTTGGGACGTGGTGAATCTCGTCCGTGACATACCGGCTTTGTTGCCAGTGTCAGAGCAGAGTGGCATCACTCAATTCCTGTACTGTTATTTATTACGCTAATTTCTAATGCCTTGGGTTACAAGTGTTCTAGCACTGCATAACTCTAAGAAACCCTTGCTTCCCCTTTGTGCAAATGTTCCAAGCAAATAAGGAAGAAAAACCTTCGCTCATACTTGAATGCAGATTCCACTTCAAATTCACTCCTTTACAAAAGTGAAGGGACATTATCTTAACTAATGCACTTAAAGCAAGTAGAAGTACTCTGTTTGCAGTGTTCCTTTAAAGGGACACTATAGAAAAACTACAGCTTATTGAATTTGTTCTGGTGAGTAGAATCATTACCTTCAGGCTTTTTGCTGTAAACATGGTCTTTAAGCCTAGTGATAACCTCACTGGCCACTCCTCAGATGGCTGTTAGAGATCCTTCCTGGGTCATGGCTGCCTAAAATGCATCCAAACATTCAGTGTCTCCTCCCTCTGCATGCAGACACTGAACTTTCCTCACTGAGATCCATTGATTCAGTTAAACTCTGAGGAGATGCTGATTGGCCAGGGCTGTGTTTGATTCATGCTGGCTCTGCTCCTGATCTGCCTCCTTGTCAGTCTCAGCCAGTCCTATGGAGAAGCACTGTGATTGGATCAGGCCACCCCTTCTAATGGTGTCAGCAGACTGCTTGTTTTTATGAGTCTAACAGCATGCAGAGTTACAGCTTCAGACTTGAATACAGTAAGATTTTGCTATATTTATAAAGGCATGAGGGGCCGAAGGGGGCCAGATGGTGGTGTTAACACTATATAGGGTCAGGAATACATGTTTGTTCATGACCCTATAGTGATCCTTTTAACATTTGTAAAACATCTGCAGTTGAACTTTTAAGGGAACCCTATCGTCACCTAAACGACTTTGACTTAATGAAGCAGTTTTAGTGTATAGATTTTACTGCTCAAACAGTGATTTTAACTCCTAAATGGCAATTAATTGAGCAGTGAGGCTGCTTCATTAAGCTAACGTTTTGGTGACTATAGTGTTCCTTTAAGTGAACCTGATTGCATCGCAACATTAGCATAGAGCATGCATTATGCTTACTGTAGTGCTTATGGTGCCAAGAATGCAGTGGCGCCTCCCTCCATTTTGAAAGTAGCCAAACCATTTTAGAATGGTTTAGCAGAGGAGAGCGAACGGAAGTTCCTGTTTGGGAGCTCTGGCTCTCCATGGGGAGTAGTGTAGGCAGGGTATAATGCCAACTAAACCCCTGGTACGAAGTCAAAATGTTCTAAGCCTGTTTGCTTTCAGTGGGCTGGCACCACGGCACTCTTAAAAATGTAGTGATTGTTTCTTGAAGTGTTCCTTTACATTTATATTACTTTTTTTTTTTTTTCTTTTTTTTTTTATTAACTAGTTGCTTCCGGTCTCATAATACAAGAAATGTTGGGGAAATAAAGGCACTACTTTGTGTTAGTTGATATGATGACTCAAAGTCCTACAAATAAAGCAGGAAGATTGTGTCTGTCACTGTGCTTTTATGTACAGTTAAAGGAACACTATAGGGTCAGGTACACAAACATGTATTTCTGACCCTATAGTGTTAAAACACCATCTAGTCCCTCTAAATATAGTAACATCTTACATTTTATTCCACTCTGCTGCTGCTGGCTCTGCCCCTGATCTGTCTGCTTGGCTGACATAATCAGAAGTGGTTATCTGAGCCAATCACAATGCTTGAAAGCATTGGATTTGGTGAGATTGTCAAGGAGGCAGATCAGGAACTATAGTGTGCCTTTAACTCTTCTTAAATATGTCTTGTATGAGACGGAGCACAATTCTTATGTTTTAAGGTGTGCCCAGTTTTGTAAAAACAATGACTTATGGATTCCATCCACACCTTTCCTCTTTGCTTTTTAATTTCCGTTTAAACTAGACCCCTTCAATGGTCATGGTATCTGTAATAGGTTGAGATAATTGAAGGTACAAGCATGGTTTAGCTTTGTCCCATAATCTGGATGTGTTTGGTTACTGTGTAGGGTGTGCTGTTGGAACAGCGTCCGCCTGCCCATTCTCTCGATGGAAGGAGTATTCAGCTTGTGCCGCAGAACCTCTTATCGCCTACCTGGTATCCTGCTATGCCCACTAGTGGGTGGTAGGGACCAGGTTGACCCCACCCCCCAAATTCTTATATTGCCCCCCCCCCTATTGTTTTTAGGTCCCCCACCTGCCGTGCATATTAACCCCCATAGAGTAAGGGAGGACATGGGGGGGTTTAGGAAGTGGTGAGCACTGCTCCCTGCCACTTCTATCTTTACATATTACAAGGAGGAAGCTGCGCGCCGGTAGCTCTATCCTTGTAATAAACTGCACGAACACTGATACTCGGTGTTAGTTTGTTCGTCTGAAATTTCTATTCATTCTTTGACAAATGAATGGATGAAATTCCCGTTCGCATGTCCAAGTGTTTAACTGGGCATGTGCAGGAATCTGTCTAGTGTGGGCAGATGATGTGTCCCACAGGGACTTCATCTACCCACACAAAGATGGCAGCGCCCTAAATATAGGTTAAGGCTGAAAATAAAGAATAAAAAATAGGTAATATGGGGGGTTTAGGGGCATTGGGGGGTGTCTAGGGGGTCAATTAGATGTTAGAGGGGGGTTTAAAAAAAACAACAAAAAAAACGGGATTCGGCCATGACCGTGCCGCTTTAACTATGCAAGTGAAAACATTGCAGTTTTAGAGAAATCATAATGTTTATATTGCAGTGTTGAGACTTCCACTAGTGGCACTTCCCGCAGTTCAGAGTTTAACCCCTTAAGGACCGGACTGTTTTTACGATGTTGTACATTTGCGACCAGGCATCTTTTTACACTTTTGTGGTGTTTGTGTTTAGCTGTAATTTTCCGCTCTCTCATTTACTGTTCCCATACAAATTATATATTGTTTTTTTCAAGACAAAAGGGGCTTTCTTTACATACCATTATTTATATAATCTTATGTAATTTAATTTTAACAAAATGGAAAAAATATGATGAACAATTGAAAAAAATACATGTTTTTTTTTACTTTTACGTGAAAAATCTTTTACTCATCTACAAAAGCGAATGAAAAAAAACTGCTAAATAGATTCAAAATTTTGTCCTGAGTTTAAAAATACCCAGTGTTTACATGCTTTTTTGCATGTTATAGGGCTATAAGTACAAGTAGGATATTGCAGTTTCAAAACATACATTTTTAAAATTTATCAATAGTGACATTGTAACACTATTATCTGTCATAAATCCCTGAATAACACCCCACATGTACATATTTTTTTTTAAAGTAGACAACCCAGGGTATTCAATATGGGGTATGTCCAGTCTTTTTTAGTAGCCATTTAGTCGCCAACACTGGCCAGAGTTAGCATTCATCTTTGTTTGTGTGTGAAAAAAGTAAATTGAATGCTAATTTTGGCCAGTGTTTGTGACTAAATGGTTACTAAAAAAAGACTGGACATACCCTATCTGCAATACCTTGGGTTGTCTTCTTTTGCAAATGGTATGCCATCATGGGGGTAATTCTCATTCCTGGGCTACCATATGCTCTCAAAGGCAACGTAACCAACCTGGCCTTTTTCAATGTAAAAATATTTGACCCTGTAACTTTCAAAAACGCTATAAAACCTGTACATGGGGGTTACTGTTATACTCAGGAGACTTTGCTGAACACAAATACTAGTGTTTCAAAACAGGAAAACGTATCACAACAATTATATCAGTAAAAATGCTGTTTGTGTGTAAAACAAAAATGAAAAAAAAGTCACTTTCACTGACAATATCATCGCTGTGATATGTTTTACTGTTTTGAATCACTAATATTTGTGTTCAACGAAGTCTCCCGAGCAAACAGTACCCCCATGTACAGGTTTTAGGGTGTCATAAATGGTTACAGCGTAAAATACAGTGCTAGCAAATTAAATTCTCTGGACTTTTGGCCTGGGTTGGCAGGCAGGGCCCTCAAATTGCCATCAATAAAATTACTTATGTAAAAATATTACATAAATACACACGTAGAATTTAAATATATATGCATATTTATGTATTTGAATACATATATTGATATCAAAATACAGTTTGAAAAAATTATATCTATATGAAATTTTTATACAATTTTTTTATTTTTACATTTTTTAATTGAAATTAATTTGTATTTTATTATATATACAATACATAGTTATTAGATATACGTGTGTAATTTAATTATAAGTTTATTAATCTAGGTACATATTAATATACACTTAGTATGACATTATATATGATATATAGACATATAATTTTTTTTATTTACATTAACATTTAATTTTTTTTTTAAATGATTTTACAATAGCAGGGAGACTGCATGTCAGCACAGGCAGTCCCCCTGCAGGCAGACACATGGACACCTATTGTGACCGCTTTGTTGAGCGATCACATGGCCACAGGGGTCCTAATCCGCCATGGGGAGACTGTCTGCCTGGGCTGCAGGCAGTCTCCCCACACCGGGAGCATCGCCGCCGGGGGAACGACAGCGATCGGGTAAGTACATCTTACCGCTAGGACGGTTCAGGACCGTCACCGGTCGGCAATGCAAAAATGCCGATGACGGTCCTGAACCGTCCTTGGTCCTTAAGGGGTTAAAGGATCACTATAGGGTCAGGAACACAAACTTGTATTCCTGACCCTATCGTGTTTAAACCCACCATATAGGTGGCTTGCCCCCCTATAAAAGTTCAAAACTCCCCTTATTTTGCTCCGCCCAATTTGTGACATAATTTTCCTAGTCAAAATGGCTGACTAGGAAAGTATTGCTTATATTCAGTTTCGGGGTTGGGGGCAGGCTAGGACAGTATTGCTTGTGTTCAGTCTTGCTGGGTGGGGGGTCTGACTTGGACCGTATTGCTTGTTTTCAGTCTGGGGGGGGGTGCAAACTAGGGCAGTATTGCTTGTGTTCAGCAGCTTGATGGATCTGACACTATTAATCTTACATTTCATGTTAATGCAAATAATCCCACAGCTGCATGTTGACACAATACCTGCTATTAAATATCAAGTTATACTGGGCTTCCAGTTGACAAAGGCCTTGTGTTATACCGAAATGTTGTCTCTGTGCTTTAATAAATGGAGTTTGCTTCATGAGTGCTTTTCACTAGTGGCATCCTAGTATGATATGTGCTGGGCTTTAACTAAGCACCTTGAATGTAGGTTATAGCTACAGTGCACAGTGTCTCCTGTGACTCCTCCTTCATTGGTGTTAATGAAAGTATGAGAGGAATGTGGGTAAAATACAGTGTAACTGTTTCTATGTAAAATGACACGTTCTGCCATTTAATGAGGACTTTGTGTGGTATTGTGGATTGGTGCTGTAAAATGCTTATCTTCCCGTAAGACTGATATTTCTCCACAAATGTCCTGATGCCAGAGAATGAGTAGAAAATAAATCTCATAGGAGATATCCCTGGTAACACAATCTAACCAGCAGTTGCTGGAAGGAATGTGAAAAGCCTGGTGACATCTTGCAGCCCGTTATAAAGGCTGTGGCGCAGTATAATAATCCCCATCTGGGCCAAAGTTGTACAGGCTGTGGCGGTAGTATAATAATCCCCATCCGACCTACGTCGTACAGGCTGCGGCGGCAGTATAATAATCCCTATCGGCCTACGTTGTACAGGCTGTGGTGGCAGTATAATAATCCCCATCCGGCCTACGTTGTACAGGCTGTGGCGGCAGTATAATAATCCCTATCGGCCTACGTTGTACAGGCTGTGGTGGCAGTATAATAATCCCCATCCGGCCTACGTTGTACAGGCTGTGGCGGCAGTATAATAATCCCTATCGGCCTACGTTGTACAGGCTGTGGTGGCAGTATAATAATCCCCATCCGGCCTACGTTGTACAGGCTGTGGCGGCAGTATAATAATCATCGGCCTTGTAAATCCAGCCCCTTTCTATGGTCTGGCCAGTTGTGCATTTTATTAATAGTGCTGATGGTATGCTAATAAACATGGAACCATGTAAATGCAGCAAAATTCTGCTGATCCCATGCTGTTCATTATTAAGCAATATCTGGTCAATGTAAGTAGTTTCAACATATATTATGCGTCCCTCATATTCTTAATGCCATTAGACCTCTAAAAATATTTTTGCTTATTAAAGGACACTGTTGTCACTATAACCATTTCATCCCTTTGATTCTAGTTCCCCAGGCACTGTCCCTCCATTCAGAGTTAAACAAATTTAGAGTAGTTTTAAAGCAGTTTAACACTAAAGGGTCCCTAGCCTTGTAGAGGTGTGGCTAAGGCAGAGATTACACACTTCCTTGTAGTCATACCAGTTCATACCATTAGTTGGTGCTCTGATAGGCTACAAGCAGTCAGCTGACTCGACCAATCAGCTGCTCATTGCTCTTCAGGCCAATACTTCCTTTTTAGTCAAAGCAGCACAGAGAGGATGGACTGTTGGGTACTCTCATTTAGAATTAAAACAAACATTAAAAACTGCCTAATGCTGAATGAAATGATGGCACCAGGGGATTTCAGACACTATGAGCAGTTAAATGAACTGGAACAGCTACAGTGTCCTATTGAGTCACTTGTGCATTTGTGACAGTTGTATTGTTCTTTAATTTGTGACTGTTATATGCAAAATTGGTGGATAATTACACTGCAAATGTGAGATTATCAGAGACAGAATTTACTCCTAGTGACTTTTGCCAGGCAGTGGATATCTGAAGCTTTGATTTTTATTTCAGATTTTTTCAGCATGCACTTCTTTGGTTTACAGAAATCCCATCTAGCTATACTGACCGTTCCTTCCTCCTATGTGTTATCTGTACCTTCACTGTTTTGTTTCCTGCATGGCAGCCGATTATTTGCAGGAGCTGGCTTACTGTGGCACCAGCATTCTGGTTACCCTGTGTTTTTAAGACCTGGAAAGGTCATTCACTGGAAAATGCTCCATAACCGTAGGGAAACATCTGATATGAAGAGATTATGTGCACAATGAGTACAGAGAGCTGTGTGACTGCAGGTGTTTAATCCGGACAGCTTCACAATGGGTATCGACAGCTGCAACCCCTTCATTCGTTAATTACTTTACCCACCTATCGGAGAGTGCAGTCAGGGCGACTGACATTTTATAATCCCCTCTGACTGGTTCTCTGCTATATCCCTGCACTGGAGCCTAGCGAGGCTACCTCTTTCCGAACGGAGTAATGGTGATATTTAAAGGTTTGTTTTTTTTTTTGTTTTTTTAAATGTAAAGGCTCATTCTTGCTGGTTGTTCTAATTTCAAATTTTTTTTTTAAACTGGGTGAAGATTTCATATTTAGAATAATTTTTCACATTCGTTTAACAGTCGTATCAGAACGGATTGTTTTATGCCATTAGGAATGCATAGTTCATGATAAACTATCTCTGGTTAATAGAATGGTCACTCATATGTGGAGAACAACCTAAACTGCTTTATTTAACCAAAATATTATATAGCATACATATTCTTATTTGCTTTAATATCATTGTTTGAAGTGAATCTGTCACCGTCTAGGGTCTTTGCATAGTTTGAAAAAAAAAAAAAACCCCAGTCGGTGACATCGCCACTGGAGGGGCAAGGCAAAAGTGAGACTTGCTTACATGAACCTGTCCCTCACGGTCGCCGCCATCCTCTTCGTTATTCTCTATTCTAGGTCTTGGCGCTATGTGTCCGCTTTATATTCTCACACAGTAGCATTGAAGTCTATGGAGGATCGTGAGAGACCACACCATCCTCCATAGAAAGGACTGAATTTCTCCATCGCTAGTGATTGTTGTGGAAATGATCAGGCCTGACACCCGTCAAGTAGTAGTCCATATTTTGTCTCCGTATATCTTTTGATTGGGTTTGAATTTCAGTGAGTTTTTCTTAAAGATTTTAGTTGGTGAGAGCGCTGCTTGAACTGAAGTGGTTTAGCAATATACGCATGTAAAAATGTATGTGTGAGGTTATATTTATGTATGCATGTATACACACACAATATTAAACCTGAGGGGCTAAAGCCAACACCAGTGAATACAGTGGAGCGCCACAAAAGACACTTGCCGTTATTCAATAATGGGTATAACTATAGAGAAGAGAATTCAATATAGTGTAATATGGGAATTAGTGTATTTAAGATGTTAGACACACTTACATAGAGAGCCAATTAAGGACAGGCTCATATTTCATAGCCGGTTGTGTACTTTGACACGGGCCGCCTTCAATCCTTTACTCAAGGTAGACCTGAAAACAGAAGTAAATTCAAACTGGACAAATATAGCGTGAAACCTCATTCCACAAACATACTGCTCACCTTCTGAAAAGCCTGTAATACCTGGCTAATGTGCCAATAGAGGGGGACATAACCCTTCTTTGATGTGGAGGCAGATAGTAGTTTAGAAGCCACAGGATGATTTGTAGGTTGGCAAAGGCAAATTTTTTTTTAAAAATATTAAAATTAAAAACTGTATAATGAAGTAAATCAATGTGAAATGGTCCTCGGGCACTCCTGACTCCTGAGAGGCATTTAGCAGACTAGCAGTTTAATCAATTGATACGTGTATAAAGTTAAGCCTGGAAATATTTGGACACTGACACAGTTTTTATCATGTTGGCTCTGTACGCCACCACAATGAATTTGAAATGGAACCTTTGAAGTGCAGACTTTCAGCTTCAATTCAAGGGGTTGAACAAAATTATTGTATGAAACTTTTTTTTTAGGAATTGCTACAGTTTTCTTATAGCCATTATTTCAGGGGCTTAAATGTAATTGGACAAACATGCCTTTACTGCAGCTTTTAGTTGATTAGCTCGATCGGGTTGAGATCATTGCCATTGCAGAATATTCCACTTCTTTGCCTTAAAAAGAACTCTTGGGTTGCTTTTGCAGTATGTTTTGGGGCATTGTCCATCTGTAAAGTGAAGCATTGTTCAATCAACTTTGCTGAATTTGGCTGTCACGAACGCACCTTACTTCAAGAGTGTGCGTGATGTAGTTGCGCTGGTGAAAGGGTTAAAGTTGACTATTTGTCTGCACTAGACCGGAAATAATGATAAAATCCCCCTTAACACCACCCACACTAAACCATAATATAACTATTACTATTTTAACGCTGCCACCACCAAGACAATTTATAAATGGGGTGCCTTGGTCCCCCCAGGTAACTTAATAATAAAAACCCACTAAATACAATTTTAGCACAATATTTAAACAATTGCAAAACACTAATTAGTCTCTTCAGGTAAGATTATTTACCAGACAAAGGCAGAACTTAATAAAGGAATATTTATTATGAGCAAAAAATAGATGATAAATTTACACCAACAGATAAAAACAAAATGGATTTACTCAATACAAAAAACTATTTATTTTCCAACTTGAAATGGAAAGGGGAGTTTCCTATGCAAACAACTCCTACCATATTTACAATTATGATGCATGGATCAATAAAATAAGGGAAACTTTAATTATAATCCAATAACAGTCTAAATCCATTAACCTTGATTTGACTTTACTTGAACCCTTGAAATTACTTTACCCACCTATCAGAGTGCGGTCAGGGCGACTGACATTTTATATCCCACCTAACTGGTTCTCTGCTACTTCCCTGCACTAAAGTCTAGTGAGGCTACCGCTTTCCGAACGGAGTAATGGTAATGTTTAAAGGTGCACCGTAAACAGGGTGGATTGGATACTATGTCTTGATATAACTGTCGACTTGAGATTCACACTAAAATATAACACATTTATTTAATCATTGTATTATGTCCATTTGTATTTGTAGTTTTTTGTTGTTTGTGTAATACAAAATATAATAAAAAGATTAAACATCAAAACAAGAGATACAAGAACACTAATCACTTAGGTTTTCAAAGGAAGATAGCGACTCAGTCAGAATAAGATTCTGACCCCCCAAGCAAGTACAATAAACACTTCAGTATCATTAGATATATACCCTGTGGATTACCAAGCCTTGCCCACATGTAGAGATAAGGTGTTCCTATAGTAACTATAAGTGACCATCCCCCTGTGTTCCAGACCCATATCAATCGAAATAGTATATTTTCCTTCTATCTCATCTTATGTACTAGCCGCAGAATTGCATCTATAAATCTGTTACCATTTTTCTATTCCATAGATATGTTACACTCCTTACTTATGACCCAATATAGCGGACATCACATCCCTTCCCATATTCCAAGTTACGCTTATCATGTTTGGGCATGATTGTCCCATTCTAAATATAATAAAAATGAGGCTTAATTCTTAATCTGTGGGTAAGTATTAATGTGTCGTTTGGATATGATACTGGAACGTGCCTCTCTCGAGTATAGGTGTTGAATGTGTGTGCAGCCTCCTCTTCCACATACGGTGATCGAATGTCGGGTATGCTAAGTGCACACTCCGGATAGGCGTAGCGGGCGACCAGCGTTCTCCAGAGTACAGCTTCTGGCGAACCAGGTCCCATGTTTTAAACAGCACCGCTGTGGTTGGCAGAATCTATTCCAATCGAGGCTTATGGTGGCTTGGTATCCAGAACCAATATTTCAGTTCAGTTTGTCAATTCTAATGTCACTCATTGTGATAGACAAGACTATGGCTGCTCTGTAGTATAATCTGATGTTGGGTAAACCTAGGCCTCCCACATCCTCCCACATCCACTGGGCAATCTAGGATTTTGGTCGCCACTCCTAACTCTTTTTGGCCCGTACGAATTGCACAATCAGTCTCTGGATGGCATCTAGGTCTGACATGGGCAGCTTAATTTGTAGGGTTCGGAAAAGGTATTGAAGTTTTGACAGCAGTGACATTTTTACCGCTGCAATTCTGCCACTCTGTCAAATATTTACTGTCCCATGCCCCCAGTGTGTTTATGAACGCTGTCCTCAAAGGTTCGTAGTTGGAGTGGTATAGGTTGGCTATATGTTTGGTTAGTTTTAAGCCCTCACATCATCGTTCGACACCCACTCCCCCATGGCCTGCGTTTTAAGTACATTCAATTTGAGTTATCCCCATATGTGTTTATTTCTTTCATCAGGTTAGGTAGGGATGCACATGTATATATTAAAGACAACCTAAGGTATTAAACTTGGGGTATTTTGACTCTTTTCATGCAACCATTTTACCACCAATCTATGCTAAATTTAAAAAGAAAAAATGTAATAATTGGTGATTTATTTATTTTTTGACACATAAAGCAATTTAAAATACATTTACTGAGAGCTTTAAGGATTACTGCCAAAGAACACTCCATTATGTGTTCAGCAACTTCTCCTGAGTACAGTGATACCCCCCATGTATAGGTGTGTCGGGTTCTCTGGGGGCTAAAAGACCCAAGGCATTCAATATTGGGTATGTCCAGTCTTTTTAAGTAGCCACTTAGTCACAAACACTGGCCAAAATTAGCGCATTTTGTCACAATTATGTGACTCAACACGCAAAAAACTATATCAACACAAGCAACATATGCCGGAACTTAGAATGGCCAGACTTCATGTAATAGAGTGGTCAAAATAACAAGCCAGGGTCAGGGATACAGAATGAGACAATACGAATAAACTAGCCAAGGGTCAGGACACCAGAAGTAGGCAAAGTCAAAAACCTAAAACAAAACAAAACAAAAAACTGAAATATATAGAATACAAAGAACATTCTCTATGACCACCAACAATTGGAAACCACGACAGGGCACTGAGAAAAGGCACTAAAAAGGTTTAATTATGTCTCTCAGTGCTGTGATTGGTTATTACTTGGCCCTTGACCGCAAAACGGGCATGTGCGCTGATATTGTGACTTCACACGCACACCGGCGCTCCTTTTAACATTGAGAACGAGACCACAGCGGCCCTTTGAACGCCACACCAGCTGGGACACGTCTTCATTGAGGATCGGGCGGCACTCCGCCGCAATCCAGGTAAGTTAGCCTTTTTCGGCGTGACCAGGGCGCCCTGCTCGTGTGCAGCCGTACCAATCATTGACTGACTTTTATTAAAAGTATCGGTGCGGTTGCGTCGATCATAGCCCCTTGTGGCGTGACACTTTTGGCCTGGGTTGTCAGGCAGGTCACCCAAATTGCAATCAATAAAATTACTTAATTATGTAAAAATGACATAAATATGCACATAGAATTTAAATATTTATATATTTGAAGTCACATGTATATTTATGGAATTATGTATATGGACATATGTATATTTCGTATCTTTGTATATTCATAGAGATATATATTTTCATTCTAAGTGTATTTTGAGATATATAATCAAAATACAGTTAGAATAAAATTACATATATAATTTTTATTTTTTTAATGTAACTTTTTATTTTTAAACTTTTTTCACCATCAGGGGGACTGCCTGTCAGTTCAGGCGGGGTCCCCCTGCTGGCAGCAGTATAGACTCCTATTGCGGCCATGTGACCGCTCTCTCAGTTATACATAGTTATAAAATATTTTAATTAATTAAATAAATTGAACCCCTGAGGGTTAAAAAATAAATAAAAAATTAATCCTCAGGGGTTAAAAAAAATTAGATCACAGTATAATACTGTGATCTCTATTTGATCGCTGTAGGCAGTGATCGACTGGCAGGGAAGGGGTTAATTTTTATTTGGACTAGGTAAAGGTTTTTTTTTTTTTTTTTACTTAAACGTTATTAAAACATTTTTTAAGCTTAATTTTTTACTTTTTAAAGGTTATTTTAAAACTTTTTTTAACGTTAACCCCTAGTTAGCCTAACGCCAAATCCCCCAATTCCCCACTAACTTCCACCCACCCCAGCTATCTAAATATATAATTTTAAAATATTTTAATTAATTAATTAAATAAATTTAACCCCTGAGGGTTAAAAAAAAATGAATTAACCCTCAGGGGTTAAAAAAAAAAAATCAGATCATAGTAAAATGTAATCCCTGCCAATTGATCACTGTAGTCAGTGATCAATTGGCAGGGAAGGGGTTAATTTTTTATTAAAATGGGTAAGGGGGACTTTAAATAAACTTTATTTTTTTTTCCAGCAGGGGGCAGGATCAGCACTGATCCGGCTCCCTGCACTTCACACAGAACCCGGAAGTGCAGGGAGCCGGTAGGTGAGTATACAGAGCACATGTGCTCGCTCAGACTTGCGGTCAGAGCGAGCACATGTGCTGGGCAGCCTGACCGGGTGCTCCCGGTATGCCTCTAATGCAGAGGCATACCGGAGCACCATTAACCCCGCAATAGCGGCGATCCAGGGTTAATTTTACCGCGTGACGGACGAGGTCCGTCACTCGTCGTTAAGGGTTTCCCCTGAGTGGCGGACCTCGTCCGTCACTCGTCCTTAAGCGGTTAATATACAAATATATGATGTGACATAAAAGCCCTATTTCTCCTGAACAAAATTATATATGTGTGCGTGCACTTAATATGAAAGATGTGAATTACGCATGAACAGACGCAAATTCAAGGTTTTGTTTACGTTTTGTTTTGATCACAACGTGTACAACCGCTTTAGTCCTTATGGGGGTTAAAGTGCATTATGTGTAAGTCAAATAAAAACAGCCAGGAAGGATGTTTCACTTGGCTCCACTGATATTCTGGACGCAGCCCCTTTAACGAGCTATAGTATTACATCACGCCTCTGGTCTATTGGCCAACAGACTGAAACGAAAGCGGAGAGTGCTTGCAGCAGATAACATCTGCAAGTTCACTTTTAACATACCTCAAAGAAAACATGAAGTTCATGTTTTATTTGGGAGTTTATACTAAATTATAAAAGAGTGGAACCAGTATTCCTTTAAATGCCTGCACAGTTGCTGATTGGATTGGACAAATTTACGGATTTCTTGATGTAGTCTGTTGAAAATGTAATCCAGTACATCAAGTTCAGATCTGCTGCTACTGTTGAGATTTTTCCTAAAATACGTTATCAGTGTGATTTCACCATCAATCAACAAATTTATGCATATTTGTAATGTTCTTTTAATAATATGATTTCTCTCCCAGTGTTTCCCAAGACGTCAGTGTAATTTAAAAACAAATGGACAAAGGAAACCACTTCATTTCTTTTCCTGTGTTGGAAATAGTTTATTTATGTAGCGCCTACAAATTCTGGAGCGCTTTACAGTGGGTGGACGAACAAATATCCATGCAATCCATTACCCCCTAATAGGAGCCAAATTCTGCTCTCAGATGTTTTATTTTCTATGTTTAATTTAGCACCAGAGCACTGATAGCAGAATCCCATGTGGCTGTCACATAAGGTGGCAATTTCCTTTTGTCAATACAGGACAGTATTCCATACATTAGTTTCTGGGGCCAAACCAACCCACCTGTCATCAATCAGTTTTCCTGGCACTGCAGGTCCCCTCTCCCTCCCACCACCCATCCCCTGGTAGCTGAAGGGGTGAAAACCCCTTCAGGTCACTTACCTGAGACCCCGCCGATGTCCCTCGGCGGTGGTTTCTGCTCGCCGCTGCTCCTCCCAGTGATTGTCAGCCGGTGGGCGAGACAAGCGCATTAGAGGTCTCCATAGGAAAGCATTGAAAATGCTTCCCTATGGGGAATTGAGCGACACTGGAGGTCCTCACACTGCGTGAGGATGTCCAGCGACGCTCTAGCACAGGTTTCCTGTGCTATGGACACGGAAGTGTCCTCTAGTGGCTGTCTAGTAGAAACCCTGCATGGTAATTATTGCAGTTTATTAAAAAAATTGCGTGGGAGTAGTGGGAGTTGGAACCCAGACCACTCCAATGTCCCTTTAATACAGAGACTCTACCTTTACTCCTGCCCTGTATACTATTTCTTAACAAAGGATTTTCCATAATCCTATTACGGCATGTTTCCCCTTTATATATCTACACTGTATCCCTTGCTTGAGTCATGTCGGTATATTTGGCTCTTCTCTCGGAGTCTAACGAGGGGTTCACCGGGAGGTGGGCGGACATTGCTGTATTCCAGTGATGCAAATTCTGTGAGTTTTCCTACAGCCTCACTATTTTAAAGTAATTTGCGCAAATGGCAAATTGGTTTTTTGTTTTTTTCTTGTTCTAGTTTTATATTTATAAATCTAGTATTGAGCAAAAATGTTGTGCTTTACAAAATGCATTTAAAGTGTTTGAAGAAATTCCGGAAATTAAGGCTGTGTAAGAGGTATAAAAGCTGCAGTTTCAGCAGTGGATAATGCTGCTATGGCAGTTCTAGTTAATACTATGAATGTATGCATTTTGATTTTATCCTTGTGGACTTTATGCTCATTTGTAGATGTTTTGCATGATTTGAGAACAGATATGTGATGTGCAGTAATGTAAGGCCCTGCTCTCTGCTGTCTCTTACTGCGTGAATTGTCACTTTCACACACAAACTGATTGGTATTATGTGCGGATCCTGGATTGCTGCAACAATAGGCAGCGCACAGTCTACAGTATTTACTAAACTTTCTGTGTTTATACTGAAACACATGCACTGCAGGGCTTGGCAAATCTGTCTATAAATATTGTATCACAGAATGACCCAGGACACGCACTTTGTGTAAATAGAACAAACACACAGACTGATGGTCAGAAGTGACATTACCAGACAGTCTGCAACTTACACCCAGTATATAACAGAATGCGTAATGGTACATAGCCATAGAGGTCACGGCACACTAGTCAATCTGTAATAAATGAAAATGTCAATCATTTGTGTGTGTGATAAGAAGACAGATGGCTAAATGTCCCTGCTACAGATAATTTAGGAATATGAGCTAGAAACACTCTGTGCTAACACACTGATGCAGTACGTGATGGGGAGAACTCCACTGAACACACTGACACAGTACGAGTTGCGGAGACCGCCACTGACCAACATTCTGATGCAGTACAAGATGAGTAGACCGCCACTGACCAACATTCTGATGCAGTACAAGTTGCGGAGACCGCCACTGCCCAACACTTTGCTGCAGTACGAGGTGGGGAGACCCCCCTGCAGCCGATCTTCTTCTGTTCCTGTCACTTCAGCTCCAGGAGCAGACATCGCTGCTGTACTCTTGTGCATTGAGGTCAATGGAATGCCCAGCTGTGGTATCCTCCATAGACGTGGCTAATCTCTGGTAAGCGTTGGGCGATTGACCCTTGTAGATGGCAGTAGCTCTGTTCAGTGTCTAGAAGGGGCAGTCCTGCTTTGTCTCAGTAAGTCTCTAGACTGTTTTGGACTTTAGTGAAATTTCAAAGCAGTCTGTAGGAGTATTTCATAAAGATTTCGTTTTTGTGAAATACTAACTTTGCAGGGAGGTGCAGGTGCCGCTTTAAGGAGCAGTAATAAAGTAGATTGGGCTACCGCTTTAGTCCCTTGGATTTGTGATCCACTACCATGAGTGCTTCTCCTGCTCCCTAACATTGTCTTTACAGGAAATGAACATGGCTCTAGTGATTCCCCTGCGGCTTCTTTGATAGCTGTTGTCCATCTCTAATCTTCAGGAATTTTTCCTGTTTCCTGCTGAGTGTTCAGTTTCCCTGATTTCTTGTGTATTTAGTTTTTGGTAGGAATATGTAGTGTGGCTAAAATCAAAGCTATCCAGATATGTCCTGGACTGCTTGTACCTTTTTAACTGCTCGTCCTACATTATTGTTCTATGCTTTCCTTTCTACCTCACAGGCTAAAATGCCATCTGACTCATTTACCATTAAATGACCACTATAGGCACCCAGACTACTTCAGCTTAATGGGTGCCAGGTCCAGCTAGGGTTAACCCTTTCATCTATAAACATAGCAGTTTCAGAGAAACTGCTATGTTTACATATGGGTTAATCAAGCCTCCAGTGGCTGTCTCATTGACAGCCGCTAGAGGGCTTCCGCGCTTCTCACGGTGATTTTCACAGTGAGAAGACGCCAGCATCCATAGGAAAGCATTGAGAATGCCGCGCATTCAGCCGAAGAGGCAGAGAGGAGGAGGAGGAGAGCTCCCTGCCCGGCGCTGGAGAAAGAGGTAAGTTTAACCCCTTCCTCTCCATCCAGCCCGGCGGGAGGGGGAACCTGAGGGTGAGTGCACCCTCAGGGCACTATAGTGCCAGGAAAACGAGTGTTTTCCTGGCACTACAGTGGTCCTTTAATAGATTTTTGTGACCAGCCAGCTCCCATCTTTACAGATTTTATGAAATAAAACTAACAAAAGTCAGAGTAGAATCACATTCGCATAATACAGGATGATCAAGAAGACAAGCATATCAAAATGTCAGTGTTGAAGCACAAGACTGTGTGGGACACGAGCTATGTGTTTGTTGTTCCCCTCATTCTTGCATAGCAGTACATCTGTTACTCTCCCAGGGCAAGGGGATTTTTTATTGGGGGGGTTATTTTGGCTGATTTGTCACTCCCAATGGGGCACAAAGAAACCACATGGAACACGTGGTGCTGTAGAGCAATTTGAGGAAGTATACCTGTTTGTGAGTGTACATGAGCACATACTCCATGTATTTATACTGCAAATCTAACTTATAATTAAATTATATTGTGTCTAGCCATACCCTGCTCATTAAGCCGGTCTAACGGCTCTCAGAATATGACAGTCACTGATATATCCCATTGTACAGCACTGCACAGTTTGTATCAAACCCCTCGTATATTGATTGGTGCTTTCTAACACTCACCCATGTTGACCAGTTTCATATGTTTCCTAATTGGATTGATGCAGGATATAAAATATTATTGTAACATAGTGCTTTCTGTTGGAATGACTTGCTATTAAATGAGGGGGGAATTAGTGGCATTCCGCAGGTCACTGTTTGTGTATGGGGGGGATCTCTTGTTGCACACACTGCTTCTTGCATCCATTTTTGTGACTTGTTTGGACCTTTTTCCCGTTTGTCAAGCTGCATGTTACGAAAACTTTACGGTAGTTTTAAAAACAAATTATCGGTGGGAATGCAGACTGCCACAGTGTGTGCTCCAGAAATGCTACCATTATTATTCTCTAAACCAAAAGGAAACCACTTTCCCTCACACTAGGGCAGTGTATGAAAGATCAAGATAAACTGTTTTATTCTTCATTAAATAGAGCAAAATGAACACTGTGAAGTGTTAAACAGTGCCCGTGCTGTATCTATTGCCCTACTTTATAATCTATCAATAAAGGGGGTTAATTATAACTGCTATCACATAGCATTGCTTGGTATTAATCCCTTTCTATAGCCATCCATGGCTCCTTCAAAATAACTGGAGCTGAAACCGCGGCCATGTAGGTCTAGACCTGGAGCCGCCGGATCCTTAATGTACTCACAATAATGGCGACTGCTCTCTTAAAGACAGCCGTTATTGGGGATTTTGTTTTCATTCATTTACATAATCCTGTAATGCTGTCAGAGGGAAGTATGAACCCTTGTGGGTGTGTATATGGCTGAATACTCAATTATACTAAGCGCTAGCTGTATAGTTGGGTTGGAATTAACCCTTGTCATAGATGGGATTCTGCAGTAGGTTGTTGGATACACAGCAGATGCAGTACTACTAGTCATGTTTGTCAACACTGGATGATGTAGCACACCAAAAATAAAAATTTCACTATTGCATGCTTCTTTTTGTATATGGGAACACAGTTTTTGTGGATTATCACTTTCTGGATATTTCCAGCCTTGCCGTTCATAAAGGCACTGTAGATTCCTATTTGGGACTTCCTTGGTTTTAAATTGTAGGTTTCTCTCTGCTTTGATAAACATTGTGTAATGCAAGTCTTTGTGATTTCAGGTGTAATCGACGTGCAGAGTGGAGGTGGGCTGTAGAAAGGGCAGCTATTATTTGTCGCTGGACTTGGTTACAAGCTCAGGTATCTGACCTGGAGTTCCGGATAAGGCAGCAGACAGAGATCTACAAGCAAATCCGTTGTACCAAGGTAATGGGAGGTTACAATACCTAGCTTCCCTGGCTATAAAAGAACACCTATTATAATGGTCCGATGGGAATATGCATAGTCTGACCAATAGGATTCTCTAACTTGCATCTCATTCCTCTACTCCCATTGATTTTGCCATCTTTGTGCTTACACCAGCTATAGAAGTTCACTCTATATGGCGGTCATTGGGGTTATACCGGCTATATACTTTGATTAGCAATTATCAGGGTCACACTGCCTATAACCGTTCTGTTTTCATAGCAGTCATCGCAGTTACATTGGCAATAACCATTCCTTTTTGATGTCCAGACTTGCATAGCATGTCTATTTGCAGTGCATGTAAAGTCAGCCATTTTATGTGGTAATCTGAAAAGGGAATATTCTGTTATAATACACATTCTTTTGTAGAGATTCTGAAAGCTCATATTTGCTGTAGTGATCGGTAAAGGGTTTTGTCATTCAAGATGGTATTTGTATTGAGGGTATAGATTGTAATACTCTTACAGGCACACTCCAAGGACAGCTGGGCAGTGCCATCTGTTACCCCTCCCCAGAGTTTGAGCATTGCATCTTCAAGCAACATCTTAGTAGGAAATGTGACAGTCACTTCCTGGTTTGCAAAAACCTACTGAAAAAAACTGCATAATGAGAGGTTTTGCAGAAAATTTCTATCTACCTGTAGTTTAAAGTAGTGTTGTGCGTTGTTGGATTAAACATTCTGTAGTACTTCCATGTTGTGGAATATAGTTTTCTACATTTCTTTTGTTGGTTTCCAAAGACCTAATTCCGTTTCATTTTCTTTCAGGGTAGTGTTGTTCTTGGAGACTCGTCACAATCTGAGGACATGCCAGCTAGACAGATAGTTGGAAATGCTAAAGGCTGCAGTCGTGTGCCACTCTCTTCAATTGAAAGGCCGTGCGATTCATCATCCCCTAGCCCTGTGCTGCACTACACAGACAAACAGGTCTGTGACTGACTGGGACAGCGCCTGCTCTGGGCTGCTTTATTTTCACAACTTCTGTTGATGGCTGAACCTGGCACGTTGTCTTTGGTGAAATATCGTTGAGAGGAGGATATTGTAAAGTAATCTGAAGTGTTGACCAGCCCATCCGTATTTTGTAATGGAGTATCATTTACAGTGTTTTAGACTTGATTTTTTATTTTATTTTTTTAAACAGCAGTTTAATTTGCTTTTAGCATACAGTACTTCCACCATTAACCATTGTGCCCAGATAGTGAGTTTTCTTTTGGAAGGAGATATTGAAACTGAGAGGTCTGTGCTTGGCTAGGCCATTGAGCCATGTAACTATGCTACTAATGCTGGCTACCAGAGTGGCGATTTTCATTTTAATCTCTAATCATTTCACTTCCGATCTACTTCAAGGACCACTCTAGGCACCCAGACCACTTCAGCTTAATGAAGTGGTCTGGGTGCCAGGTCCTTCTAGGGTTAACCCATTTTTTTTATATAAACATAGCAGTTTCAGAGAAACTGCTATGTTTATTAATGGGTTAAGCCTTCCCCCTAATCCTCTAGTGGCTGTCTCATTGACAGCCACTAGAGGCGCTTGCGTGCTTCTCACTGTGATTTTTACAGTGAGAGCACGCAAGCGTCCATAGGAAAGCATTGTAAATGCTTTCCTATGCGACGGGCTGAATGCGCGCGTAGCTCTTGCCGCGCGTGCGCATTCAGCCCAGGAGGAGGAACGGAGGAGGAGAGAAGGAGAGCTCTCCGCCCAGCGCTGGAAAAAGGTAAGTTTTTACCCCTTTCCCCTTTCCAGAGCCGGATGGGAGGGGGTCCCTGAGGGTGGGGGCACCCTCAGGGCACTATAGTGCCAGGAAAACGAGTGTTTTCCTGGCACTATAGTGGTCCTTTCAGTGACTTTTGTTAATGTGGAAGTGTCCCAAGTGAAAGATACAAATAGAATTAAACAGTGGATGTTTTATGCAGTTACCTATCTAGAAGCATAATTTTACTTCTATTTAATCAATTTCATTGTATTATAGTAGAAAGGGGGTTTTGCCCTTAAAATGCTAGGATGGTGAAAGTGTTTCAACATGCACTACTGCTCTGCTCTAGGCATCTAGAACCTTTCCCATTAAAATCACTTGTCATCTTCCTGACATGGCAAAGGCTTTAGAAAACAGTGTGTATTGCATGGGAAAAGAGTGAAAGCTGCACTTTGTAGGCTGATTTAAAGCAGCCTTGTCAGTTTAATTTTCTTTACATTATACCCCTATTGTTGGTTAATATACTCTTCCCGTTTCCTTTAGTTATGTTTAACTCCTTGAGGACAGATGACTGTTCAGAACTGTCATCAGAAACATCCCCTTGAGGACTGATGATGGTCCTGAACCGTCCTAATTACTTAGCTGATTGTCGCCATTGCTCCTGGTCTGGGGGGGACTGCCTGACCGCCCAGACAGTCCCCCCCCTCTGCAAATTAGGTCCCTGCGTGCCATTTGACAATTGGTGTCCATGTATCTGCCTGTGTTGTCAGGCAGTCTCCCTGCTGTTGGAAAATAAAAATGTTTGTATATAAAAAATATGTATTTTTAATATACAAAAATTAATATAAAAATACACTTAAAAAAAAATAACGTCTTTAACCAGGAAAGGTACATTCAGATTACTCCGGTTTTAAAGTACGTCCTGGGGATGTTACCGTAGCCCAACATGCAGGGCTTGTTTACTATTACCCAATTTAATGGTGCTCATTTTATCTACCTTGGAAGGATGAAGGGCTGAGTCAAACCTGCAACCCAAGGGTTGAACAGATTCCACTGATAATGCATTAGCCCACTGTGCTATCTCGTGTGTGTGTATGTATGTATGTATGTATGTGCAATTTTTTTTACCCTTTATAATAAACATACACACAATATACATACATATATATATATATACATATATATATATCTCTAGATACATATATATATATATATATATATATATATATATATATATATATATATATATATATATATATATATATATATATATATATATATATATTGTGTGTGTATATTATAAAGGGTAAAAAAAATTGCTAGCACTATATTTAACCCTGTAGCTTTCCATGACACCCTAAAACATGTGCATGTGGGGTACTGTTTTACTCGTTAGACTTTGCAGAACACAAATATTAGTGTTTCAGAACAGTAAAACGTATTACAACAATATCAGTGAAAGTGCTGTGTGTGTGTGTGTGTGTAAAAAAACAAACAAAAAAAAAAAAAACTCCACTTTCACTGACCATATCATCGCTGTGATATGTTTTATTGTTTTGAAACACTAATATTTGTGTTCTGCAAAGTCTAACGAGTAAAACAGTACCCCACATGCACATGTTTTAGGGTGTCATGGAAAGCTACAGGGTTAAATATAGTGCTAGCAATTTTTTTTACCCTTTATAATATACACACACAATATATATATATATATATATATATATATATATATATATATATATATATATATATATATATATATATATATATATATATATATATATATTCTAGATACACACACGTGTAATTTAATAAGAATATATATATTTGTGTTCAGCGAAGTCTCCAGAGTATAACAGTACCCCCCATGTACAGGTTTTATAGTGTTTTTGAAAGTTACAGGGTAAAATATAAGGCCATTTTTTTCACATTGAAATTTGTCAGATTGGTTATGTTGCCTTTGAGAGCGTATGGTAGCCCAGGAATGAGTATTACCACCATGATGGCATACCATTTGCAACAGTAGGCAAACCAAATTTACATGAGGTGTGATTCAGAGATTTATGACAGATAAGTGTTACAATGTCACTATTGATAAATGTTTAAAAATGTGTATTTTGAAACGGCAATGTCCTACTTGTACTATAACTTGCAAAAAAAAAAGCATGTAAACAGTGGGTGTTTTTAAACGCAGGACATTTTTAAATCCGTTTTATCAGTTTTGTCATTCGCTTTTGTAGATGAGTAAAAGATTTTTCAAGCAAAAGTCCCAAAACCTTTTTTTTTTTTTTGTTTCTCCAATTTTTCACCATATTTTATTAAATTATGACATCAAATAATGGTATGTAAAGAAAGCCCTTGTCCTGAAAAAAAAATCTATAATTTGTATGGGAACAGTAAATGAGAGAGAAGAAAATTACAGCTAAACACAAACACCATTAAAGTGTTAAAACAGCCCTGATCCCTAACGTACAACATGGCCAAAACAGCCCTGCTCCCTAACGTACAACATGGCCAAAACAGCCCTGCTCCCTAACGTACAACATGGCCAAAACAGCCCTGCTCCCTAACGTACAACATGGCCAAAACAGCCCTGCTCCCTAACGTACAACATGGCCAAAACAGCCCTGCTCCTGAAGGTGCTAAAGGGAGAACTGTTTTCCTGCACTATAGGTTAATACCCCTCCTCCCCTCCCTTGGTGCTGAAGGGGTTAAAACACAGAGCTTTACACAAACTCATTAATTGTGCTGTCTATATACCGGTAGTGTACACAGAGCTGTACATGAACTCACTCCTTCTGTGTTCTATGTGAACTAGGGTCACTGTCATTGTGTCTAGCCGAGCCAAGGGGCGTGTGTACATCGTTTTGTTCTTTTCATAATGGTGAAGAAATCTGAAACTTTTTCTTGTTAATTTTGTACCTTTGAATTCCATGTGGACTAGACTGGTCTAACCATGTATTTTAATTCATTGGGCTGGGTCATGTATAAGTAAAGCTATATTATCTTATTTCCTGACTGTCAAGTGTCCTGTCCTATACTAAATAACATTTGGTTTATGGCACTTGGTCTGTAGCCTCTGGATTACACATAGTGCCCTGTTTTAATGCATTGCATTTTCTTCATGCTTTCTTACAGTGTTCCCGCCTTACACACTCTGTTGAAAATGTTTTGTGTCAAAATCCATCCACCACAACTGTGTCTGAATCCCAAGGATCCCAAAAACCATCTCGTCAGGTCAATGGACTCGTAAATTGGTTAGTAACTGGTTCATTCCTACCTGTTAGATATTTATAGGCCGGTCTAACTTTCCTACTGTATCGGGCTATGCGCGGCCTGCTGCGCCAGTCTTCTAGAGAAGAGTGTGCTTGTTGTATTTCAATGTGATACAAGTACGGTGTTTACATGGCAGATATTTAGTTGTTATATCATTGCAGTGTGCGTTCTAATGTGTCATGTAACGGCTCTGTGGAAGATTTTGACTTGGAGTTGTCATCGGGTAAGAAGCGACGTCCAGATGTCATTTCTCAATCAGTGCTTATAGAATCCACCTGTGTGGCAGCAAGAACACGACCCCTTCGTGGACACAAAAAGCGTAGGCTGGTCAGGACGAGCTCTGTATCTTCCCTTAGTAGAAAGGTAAGTTCTCTGTGCCTACATAAACTGTCATAAAGAGCAGCTGTCACGGTTCCCTGTTCTTTCACCTCAATATACACTTTTGTTTTATTTACTGGGGTGAATAAAAAAGCAAAGAGCAAGTATAAAATGTACGTCTGCTGCCCTTCCATGTTGGGACCACTTTGTCTCCCCATGATGTATTTGGCATTTTCATGCATATGCAATGCAAGGTTAGCTAAATTACCTGGTTTGCCTGCCATAGTTTATAAATTCAAAACCTAAATAACAGCTAACTTTTAGTCCTCTTGCAATCTTTGCAATTTGTTTTTCACTTCACTACAATTCGGTGTTCCACCACCTCAATCAGCAGAGTTTCACTTTCCTTTAATTTTTCTTTACATAATGGTGAATCCCGCTTACCCAGTAAAATATAATTTGTCGTGCTATCCCACACAGAGGTTGGGCTTTGGATGTCCGGAATACCTCGGTATCTTGGGAGATGTCTTTTATTTCCCAGTATTCTCAGATACAACACAAGTGTTTCAATATATAGATCTATATTTATAGAGATTTTTTCCCCCCATATTATTTTAACTTTTTATACTTTACTTAGCCTCCGAAGCCTTTGTCGATGAAGTGTAGCTGTGAACTTCCTGTTACATGTATCCTGTGTGGCCGCAAGACATGCGCATGGAGCACGCCCATCCCCACCGTGACTGTAAACGAGCGGATAGCACTAATGGACCCGGGCTATCACTCTATCCTTTCCTTCCCCTACGGTAATTAGTTTTTTCTTCCCTGCTAGAATGGCTGTTGGTGCAGAGATTGGCACTGTGTGTTGGGCGCTACCTGGCAGCATACATGTTTTTGTGACTTTTCATATATAGAATGTAAAGTTTGTGTGTTGTGTATGTCATTTCATCTTCCTATACTGAAAGACAGTGAGACTCTGTAATTTCCTGGGTGTAATGAGTGACTTTTACCTTTTTAGTATGGTTTGCATTGTCTGTATATTTATGCTTGCAACATGTTTACTGTGATTGTGTTGTGAATTTTAGTTCTCGTTGCTAATTGGCTGCTATTGTAAGGAGTGGAAGTCTATACATTCTGTAGCAGTGATTTACTTGAGTCTCACCTTGTTTTATAGAATTTGTCTCCCTTTATGTTTGGTTTTGCAGACACCTCCCTTAACTTGCACTTTGAAGCATTACTGAAAGAGGACAGACTGTTCCGGCTCAGTAACAAGCTCAAGGCTTTAAAGCTTTCTCAGCTCAGCAAGAAGCCCCTGGACAGACTGAGAAAAGGCTACCAGAGCCCCGCGTCAGACTTTGCAGGCAGTAAGTGCCGCAGCATCCTGCGTTATCTGTCAGACGCCTGGACCTGCACAGTGCATCTCTACATGAGCAAGCTGCCCCTTCTGCCTAAAGAACTGACAAAATATACAAATCCTAAAGTTCACTTATTTTTCTTTTAGATTTGTTTTTTCTGCTAACTAAACCTTAGCATCCTTAAGCTTTTTGCTCAGTGCAAAGACTCTGCATTGAATGGTGCGTGGCTACTGTTCTCTCCCTATCTTCTTTCGTGTGAATTTTTTTGTTTATTTTTTTGCTTGCCATTCTCGATCTCCCTGTGAGAAGGCCTTACCAGGTTCTCTCTAATCCACCAGGTTATGCACACGGTAAAAGTGACCAAGAGAAGTTATGTCAGTATCGTTTGGAGAGCTGGCAGCGAAACGCCCGATTAGTATCGGACCTGGTGACAGATCGAGTCAGGTCCCAGCTGCGGAAAACGCCTCAGTCAGCAACACACCCAGGTAAACCTCTATAAATAAAATGGGAGTCCTGAATCCCATCCCATTGGCATTCCATGCTGACTATCGCTGGTCACATTCAGCACGTACAAAGGAGCTTCTATTTAAACAAAACAATGTCTGGCCTTGGCTGGCTATTCATTCTTAGAAATAAAATACAACTGGAGTGTTATAAAACCCAATCCACATAGTGCCCACAATTATTCTGTCAGAGGCGCACAGACTGTGTTGGCAATTCTTTTCAGAGTATCTTTATGTAAAATATTCAAAATGCTTCAGTAACCTTTCATCTGAAACTGGATTGAACTGGAGTGAACAGTTTGTCCCCTAAACTATGAGAATTCTGTACATTGACCCCTTAAGGACACGTGACGTCTTTCACCATCATCACTATCTAACTTACAAAGATCCCTAACCCGTATGATGCAACGTGGAGAATTGCTGTCATGTTAACTCTCTTCCAGTGGAGCTTATATGGCATTTTTATAAACATTTTACTCATTTCATACATTTCACAAATGGTCTATCCTACAATATGCTTTTCTACATTTTATCTTGTATCCCTGTCAGTTATTGTTCGACACTGTTGTTTTTCCTTGCGCTTAATAAGTGGAGAAGAGGAAGCCCAAACCATATCACTTGCTAAATCTTTAACTTCCATTTAAGATTAAAATGAAATCATGCAAGTTACTGGTGATTTTCAATGTTTTATGGAATGGTGACATTTACAGAAAAGTAACTGTTCCCCTGTAGCATTGTAAGCAGTCGTCTGAAGATATTGGGGTGTGTAGTCTGCCTCGGTGGATCTACCACATGTTGGCCATCGCTGTGTGTTCTGCTAAATTAAATGTGGTGATTTCCCTTCCTCTGTAGTTTAAGACAGTTTAATTTTCTTGCACAGGATCTCTGTTCAGAGATGACAGACAATATAAAGACATCTCGAGTCCCAGCCTACATGTGTCCTCCCCCATTACTTCAAGACCAAGCTATGTGTCCCACCAGCTTTCATCTCTCACCGAAACCCCCACAGCCTCATCTGGCTGCCAGCAAACCAGCAACACTGCGGTAAGGTTTAACTTCAATACATGACCTTCAGCGAGCCTGACGGCAAGTGCGATTACATTTTGTTACAGTTCAGTAAGCTGCGTGTCATGGCATTGACCAAAATGTACTGTTTAGAGCAGGAAACACATAGAATAAGACAAATTTCATTTCTACCATATGAACATTGTAATAACGGCAATGCCTTCCTTCCTATGGACTGTTATTCAGTTTTACTGGAGAAGTGTGTAGGAATACACAAATTCTACTGCAAATAATTGGGAGATTTAGCAGATAACATATGTATGACCCATAGAATTATGAGGTTATGTTTAATTGTATATTTGGGGTCTTGCTAGGCCACTTGTAAGCAAACACTACTGGTGGGTAATCTGCGAGCGTTTAACATCATGGCACCTGAGATGCTACAACCAGTGAAGATTGGCGCTCCTGTTAAAACCTATGTAGACTATAGATTTTTAAAGATGTTGCGAAATATCAATTATTCATTCTCGGATTCTAGTCAGAATGTTTTTTTTTGTTTTTTTTTTATGCCTGGGTTTGGCAAATTAACAATGCTAGTGTCAAGATCATGTTTTTGTTTTTCTTTCCAGAACCTCAAGAGAAAAAAATTAGAGAATTCATATGACATCAATAACATTGTGATTCCCATGTCTATGGCAGCTGCATCTCGAGTCGAGAAAATCCAGTATAAGGAAATCCTCACTCCCAGGTAGGTGTCACATGAATGACGTACATTATGTGTATCTGGTTGGGTCATAGCTAGCTTTTTATGGTAACCTAATGCAGTATGCACTTTCAAATAAAAAGTATATATTTTTAGTATAAAAATAACTATTTTATGAAAGTTCCTTATTCCCGGAAGTAAAAGAAATTTGTCCGCAACTGTTTTTGAATTTTGACTTTCCATCTCAGGATAAGAGTCAAAAATACCTTCTCACACACATATTGTTTGCAATCAAACTCTGTATAGCAAGAGCTTAGAAAAGCCCATCGACTGTATCCAATCAAAATCCGTATAGCAAGAGCTTGGAAATGTCCATATGTTCTTCAAAATAAATATAAAAAATATATATATTTTAAACTGCCGGTTGTTTGGGTTTTAGCACCTCCCCACCTATTTGCTCTGGTATATAGTGTGGCTGCTATTTTCCTCTTTTCTAGTTCCCACTGCAGCTAGCAACACATTAAACGTAAAACAATGTGCTTCCATTAAAGGAGGTTGTATGCCCACCCTGTAGTGTGTATATAGTGCATTAGAGGCATTAATTTGTCCTAACGTGCCAGTATCCTCCCTCGACTGTCTAATGAACTCCACTACACTTGCTATTCATTGCATCATGGTTTCCTAGTTAGTCTGTCACATGCTTCGGTGCCATTGTTCTGAAAAGGGATGGATCTAGGAGTTCTGATTCCAAAAGTTGCCTCAGAACTAATAGAAACATGATCAAAAACATTCAATACATAATTATTCATATTTCAATGTTAGTGTGCTGCCCATTTAAACACTTTCCATCCTGTCTGAGCGTTGTTAACGCAGTCTGATCATTCAGTACATAATTATTCATATTTCAATGTTAGTGTGCTGTCCATCCTGTCCGTGAGGGTTGTTTAGACGCAGTCTGATCATTCAGTGCGCCATTTTATTTGCTAGGATATAGAAGTTGGACAAACATTCTAAAAGTAGCCTAGAAAATGTCTGAAGCACTTCAATAAGCGGTCTCTAGTAAGGCATGTAAATAACGGTGACTTGTATCTCAACAGCTGGCGTGTCCTGGATTCCATAGAAAGGGATACAGTGTTGGGAATCGATCCTGAGGTGAGTGGTTTTTCGAATATCGTGCCACACACTGACAATTTTACTTTTTTAAATTGTAAGAGACTCTTAAATATTGTTATGCTTCTAAAAGCAAAAGTCTGTGTCCTCCACTATGTTAGTAATTCGAAGTGTAACACTTTCCTAGTAGGGTGCACCCACCACCTAAATACTACTTTATATCCTTTCTTGATCATGATGGAGACTAGTGAATGGATAGTTTGCCCTCATAAATGAGATTTCCTTCGGGTATTTTATACGGACTGTAAGCTTTGGCCTCACCTCTAGTGTAACTGGCTGTAGGCTATAGTGGTTCAGTCTGTTAACTTGCCTATCTCTGTTCCTGCAGCTGGAAGATTTGTCAGATGAGGCCTATCTAAATCGTCACAGTGCTAATGAAGACCTGGAACGGTCACGATGGGATTCCTGGGCATCAGCCACTCCTCAGAGGCGAGGGAGCAGGTATGGATAATATGGCTGACCACTTTAACGTGTAGTCAGCCTGCTGTTCCCATGCATTACTACATAGTAACACTATACACAATGCAGAACTCCTCTTTATACAATAACATGAGTTTAACAGCTGTATGCGAAGCATGTTGGATGATCGCTATTCCTGGGAAAGAAACGGTCTGTGCAGACTGTTCATGATCAGATTAGTCATGCCTTTATAAGCTATTTACTTTGCATGATGAGCTGTCATGTACTTTCCTTGGCTATTTCTTTGTGCAACGTAAGTAACTCTTTTTCTGATGTGTTTTCAGTGTTAAAGGGATGCTACGTCACTAAAACAACTTTAGCTTAATAAAGCCGCTTTTGTGTATCTATCATGCCCTCTCATTTAACGCCTAATTGGCAGAGAATTGAACAGTAAAACAGCAGGGGCATGATTTATACATCAAAACTGGTGACTATAGTGTCCCTTTAAAGGGTAACTGTCCCCTTTAAACATTAGACGTAGCAGTTGGCATAATGCTTGCTGTCTCTATGCTGGCAGTTGTAGAACCCAGGACAGAGCTTTTAACCGTAATTGTCAGCCAACATGAAGGCACTCTAGTATAGAACTACAGTAGTGTCTTTCTACATATAACTTTATTCCAGATCTTGCGTTAAACATAGGTAAACCTGATAATCCTGGGAAATGACAATTCCTCCTTATAGATGGTAAAATATCATGGAAGTTACTGGGTGGTGGGGGTCTACGTTTTGACCACCCATGAGCAAGCAAATAATTTTAAGTAATTCAGAACACCTTTGTTCAACTGGGTTCTAATTTTGTGGATAATTTAATGTTATTGGCATGCAGAAAAATTTACCTGACACTAGCTTATGTGGTTTACTGTCACCATAGGTCCTCCAACAAATCCGATGGGCGCTGGACTCCACAACCCCCTTCCAGTGGTCTGGGATCTCTCCAGCCAGCTTCTCCAGATGTTGGATTTCAATGCCTTAATGATGTCCCGCTTACCCTGTCATCTGCTGCACCTGACAGCCCAGAGCCTTACACCAATGTCCAATGCCTCTCTGTTAAGAGCCGGACAAGAGTTCTCTCCTGGAGTGAGGATACTAGGTCGTCCACCCCAGAAGCTCCAGATGAGGAGGAGCAGGTTAGTTTCTCTGTGTACCTCCAGGATTTGATGGGTTATGGGCTTGTCTATGAAGGGTGGATGACCCTGCCACAGGCTTACTTTAGCAAAAAATGCTCTAGATAGTGCTGTTAATACACATTATCAAACGTGTGTAGATTGTTACATGATGGCAATGTGTCTTACAATACAACCTGAGAGTCCTAAGCTTCCCTGCTTAATTTAACACTGTTAAAACTCTTGTATTTAAACCAGATTAGTGTTTTAACAGTTTCATGTGCTAATGGGATATAATGCCTGCAATTGCTGACTCTAATGGGACAGTTGGGTTTTCTTGTAAATATCACACATCCTGGTCTCAGCCCAGCTCTTCTTTATTTGGCTCTATAAAGTAGTTTATATATTTAGGACGTCTTTGTAGGTCATGTGCAGATGCCAGAAACCATGTGCATGACTTGCATGATGTTTGCACCCTGTTCTTTTCCTAGAGATGCCAAACTAGCAGGGTTTTAATGCATGTTCACAATATAATTTAATACAGAGGATGGCATGCAGACAAGCAGCAGTTATTAGTAATAAAATAACAAGGATAAAATGAGCCGGCACACTGTGCCCATTACATTTTACCCATTCAGCTGTCACTCTGTGGTTTTGGTATTCTCTATATGATTTGAATCCCTTGTGGAACAGGCTAGGAAGTTAAGCCACTCTAAGAAAGCTTTATTGTGTGCAGTATGAAATGCCCTATTACGTGTCAACACCTCCCTTTCATTGTTATTTCAGGCTGTCCTGCCATGGGAGCATCGAAATTTTCCCCTCTCGGACAGAGATCTACGAGCTCTGCAGAACTTGCCTGTAACTCCCAGCAGAAGCAGAAACAAGCAGTCCCACGAGGTCATGTGGCACCCAACCAGCAAGCCTAGCACACGAACTGAGAGCTTAGACTTTGGCATGTCAACAGAAAACCTCGCCCCTTCCTCCAAAGAGCCTTCCTTGCCCAATAGCATTTCAGTAGTTCGTTTTCATGCCCAAAGTGGTGAAAAAATTGCAAGCCTGGAATACTTTCCAGCCAGGCCAGTAAACAAGAGATGAAAGGTCCTCCTTTCACTAGATGTGTATGAACACAATCCCACATACGTTATTGCGGTATCAAGTGCTTGGCTGACTTGCAGGCCCAAATGGAGCAGTAGATTGCACAGTAAATCAGGGCTTCCTGGCCTCAGCAGCACGTGAAGATAAAGGCCTGATAAGAAGTCTAAAGCACCAAGCGAACTGCTACGTGCTGGACCTCACACTCAATACGGACCATGGCGTGGTCACCAGATAACATCTGACAGAAGACCCCTTCCTTTCCATTGGCTTCCTAAGAGTGATGCGGGCAGAATAGGTACATGGGGCAGGCGCAAGCATCAAGATGAGAGGCGAGAGATTTGGAAAACTGAGAAGAATTCTAAATAAAAATAATGAGTCAGTCTGGGGTGGAGGATAAATCTATATATATATGTAGAAATCAGGTTTAACCCCCTCACTGCCAGAGGAATCTGCAATTGTGGCAGAGGTTTAAGTACACTGTTCAGGCTTCTGTTGAAGCGTTTTCCCATCACTAGTTCTTTGCTTCCATACTACTATTCATCACTGTGCTTTGGTTTCAGAGAGAAACAGGCGTCTGAGTCTATGTAGTAATCCACAGAACCTGGCGTTGTCACTCCCGGTGGCAAATAACAAACATCTGCGTAGAATTGCCAACACTATGATGCAAGAACACACAATTTGCAAGCAGATCAATTACCTATACCAAACTCCCTTTCCCTAAACAAAATTGTGTAATTATTTAATAAATGGGAAAAAGTGACTCCTCTGTCTGAGAATAGCCTGATGTATATGGATTTATGAAATTAGATTAAAGTAATAGATTCTGTTAGATAATTGTGTGGACATTGACTTTTTTCATGGTAAATAGCCTTTTATTTTTTTTACCTGGAATCCCTTATAAAACCTTGAGTGCTGACTTGTTTCGAGGTGCTGTGTATTGTAGGCTGTAACAATGATCAGCCAGTTTATAGCATGAAAAGGGGTTTCATTTTCAGTCAGATGTTAACTTTAGAAGTTAACTCCTGCTCTGTAAGTTGAACTCTATTCACACACACAAGGCTCCTGCGGGGTATAGCAAACAAGTAACAGCATATAAGAAATTCTAAATTAAACAGAATCTGCTATAGATGAAGACAAAGTGTCACATGCAGGGCGGTGTTAGGGCTGTATAAATTAAGTGATTTAACTCCTAAATGGCAAAGTGAGACTGCAATGAAATGACCTATACTCCAGAACTGCTTCATTAAGCTAAAGTTGTTTTGGTAGTGTTCCTGTAACTGCATTCGAGCACAGAGGCAAAATTATCCAGTCAGCCTGATGAGCATTTGCTGACATCGCCCATCCTTTTATTGAAAGGTAATCGAAATTCATACCTATGGCATCACACTGTAACAGTAGTCCTTGTGTATGCTAAGGTAGTTACAATATCATATGTACAAAACCGTATCCAAAGAGAAAATAAAATTATAAATACCGAGTAAATGAGATACCCGTTCTACTGTTCAGGGGAGAGACCACCCAGAAAACTGTAAGTGACGCCCTTTAGAGAGAGAGAGAAATTATTCATACTAGCCATAATTTTTGTTTTATTTGGTCACAGGAAATGGCAGCACAACATTGGGTAGCTCCTCCCATCCCTAATTAGACAGGAACTAATTAATAGAAAGGTATAAATATCCAGTTCTCCCTCAGTCTTGTTACCAAAAATATCCCAAGGTGGGATCTTTGTGCTGCCATGGCCTATACGACGGTGCAATCTGGGAACACGTAAGACCACTGAGAAGGGAATTGCAGTAGTCAAAACGAGAAAAAACAGAGGCATGGACCAGCACCTTAGTTGTGTCTGGTGTTCAATAGGGGCAGATGTGAGCTATGTTTTTGAGATGGAAGCAGCAGGATTTGGTGGTCGACTGGATGGGTGAAGGAGAGGTCGGAGTCAAAGTCAACGTTGACAAAAACGTATCATTTCTATTATTCCTTTAAAATAAACACTGGCTGTTCACTGTTTAATAGACATGCCCCTACTCGCGGTATAGCGAGTAGTGAGACAATTTATGAAATACTAAGTAATTTTTACTTAGTATTAGTAAATTTGGCTGAAAAACCAATTTAGGTAATCCAGCTTTTTGATAGATAACTCCCTAATACTGTGGGAATTAGGGAGTTATCTACCAAGCAGCTGCAAGAGAAGTGCCAAAGTTGCCGAGATCCCGAATTTCGGAATGCCGAACCGAAAATTTTTCCCATGCACATGTCTATTGAGTCTCTAGTAGTTCACACAGAAGCGGGTCATTCCATCCCATTTTGGTACTAAGACTACCGGAGAAGCCCAAGGACTATCAGATGCTTCTATAACCCTGAGATGAAGCATCTCTTGTCTCATGTTCCCTGACAGCCTCAGGACTTTGGTAGGTTTGTCAGAGGGGTGGCTGTTCAAGAGTTCCTACATGGCGGGTGGTCTGCTGAGTTTACCCAGGTACGTTTGAAAACGTTGCTCCCTTTGTGGCTAGATATTGTCGTACCTGGAAACGCTCTTGGGTGCCTAGCTGGACCTTGTCTAGGGAGCCTATCTTATTGTCTTCCCCCAGGAGTTCGGGGCATGGCAAGATTTTCAAAGTCAATGGAGACGAGCGCACATATGGCCGCCACATCCTCCGTTCTCTCTAAGTAGGGTTTGAGCATGTTCACGTGAAGCATGCGTCTCCCCCCACTACCGGAGCAAGGTGTCACATGTTCATCCTCACCTTGCGACATTGATAGTGGTTTCCTTGCCAATAAACGTGGTAGTGCCGTTCAGCGGCCATTCGTCATTGTGTCTGACCCCTACAGCAAGCATGTTGATGGACGCCGACCACTGCGGATCCACACTAATTTATTACCCCACGTCCACCCACGGCATGGAAGACGTTGACGTGCGCGTGATGTCACGTAAAAGACAAGCGCATGTGCTGGGGTCAAAGGCCGTTTCGATTGCTTCAGTACTCTGCTTTTTCGCTATTCACTCAGGTGCGCTGTTGTGGTTATAGTACCAGTTTAACTAATGAAACTGTTTGCTAATGGCTTGACTTGTTACCTGGGTTCTCCTGGGAGCTGGTCCCTGCCTCTATACTGCTGGAAGTTGGCAGTACCGCACTTAACTGACACTCTCAGCCAATGCTAAAGGAAGCTCCTAAGCAGGAGGAAAATGAAAGTTAGGGGACAGGCAGACAGACAGACAACAGGAAAGCAAATGGTTTGACTGCTTACATTGATAGGAGGGGCCAGGGCACTACGAGCACTATAACCACTGCAACATCCTGTAGCAGTGATGGTGCTTGCATTGTTCCTTTAACAAGACAGTATGTTTTTACTTTTCCATGTGTTATTCAATCCACAGCTAAACTCACTCAGCCAAACCGTTAGATCTAATTTTTAGTTTCTTTTTGCATCCCATAGATCTGTCTGTACGACACGGCAGATAGTGGAGATTATGAACAGTTATTTAAAATGTGTCAGGCAAGGGTCCAAAAGAATGTCTTATTCTGGAAAATCTGTGCAGATCCACTGAATGAATCCCGGAATACAAAAACGCAGCTCCATTTTTTTGGGGGCCCTTTACACAGCTCAAGGTCTGGGTCCCAGGGTCCACCTTCATGTTCCACCAATGAGTTTGTTCACAGGGGGTGGAGTGTGTAGGGGATGTCCTGATATGTGTGTAAGGAATGCATTGTGTGAATCTGTGTTTGTATGTGTAAGGGCTTCAAGGTGTGTTTCTGTGTGTGTAAGGGATGCATTGTGTGTAACGGTTGCATTGCTTGTGTATGTGTGTCTGTGTGTGTAATGCATTGTGTGTTTTTCTGTGTGCAAGGGGTGCATTGTGTGTGATGAATTTCAATCTCTCTCTCCCCCTCCAATTTCCTTTTCTCTCCCCCCTCCCAATTTCTTTCTTTATCCCCCTCTCCCAATCTTTCTTTATCCCCCTCTCCAATTTCCTTCCCCCCTCCCAATCTCTCCTTATCCCCCCTCCCAATCTCTCCTTATCCCCCCAATCTCTCCTTATTACCCCCCCATCTCTCCTTATTCCCCCCCATCTCTCCTTATTCCCCCCATCTCTCCTTATTC